GCATGTATAGGAGGAGAAAAATAAATAACATTTTGGTGCTTGTAAGTGTTTTTGTTTTTTGTTTTAATTCTTAACTCTGTAGCTGTTTAACACTATTTTCTATCTAGATGAACTCTAAAAACTGATTAGACAGATCGTTAAGTGGAATACTATATAATCAGTTAAAATAGCTTTAATTTAAAATGTATTTTAGGAGGTATAGATTGTAACTTCAGAGGTTTATATTAGAGGATATATTTGGTCTTTTAAAAGAATGGCAGCATTTCATCACATTTTGCTTTATTAAATAATGTATTTAAATAGCTCATTTAATAAATTTCCCTTTCTTTGATGAATGAACCATACGAAGACAGACTTCCTCATCTAGGATTCGTAAGGGGACTTCTTGCACTTTAGCAGCTAGTTTTTTTTTTTCACAAATATATTTGCTAATATGTTTCAACTGAAATTTCACAAGAATTTTGTAACATGTTAATTCTGTGCAATAGAATGATTTACATGAGAGAATGCAACTGCTGTTTGGATCACTTATTATCTATGTATGGCATTCCAAATATCTAAAGAATCAGGAATTGTTAATAGATTGGATCAGTTCCTCGGAAATTTTAAAGGAATTCCACTTTACTTATTTTCTCATTAGAAATACTGATATATTTGAAATAGTCACTCTTAAATATTCATTTAGAGAGGAAGGATTTTTCTAAAAGAAATGACTATTTCATGTGCATATATGGTAGAATAAACTATAACTTTTAAAATAAGAAATCTGTTAAGCGTATGCATGGAAATAATACTTTTTAGAAAAATACTCCTTTATTCAGTAGGCACAAGAATAGCTAACCCAATATGCAAAACATTTTCATTTTAAATATAATTATGTTGAAGAAATTTAAACATATAAACAAACAATTACAAAATGACTGCAGTTAGTAACTTAAAAATCCTATTGATTCACCTCTGGATTCGTTGTGTTTGAATTTTGAGAAAGTATTTTTAGATTTAAAAAATATATATTTTTCCAAGCACTTTCCATGATGATGAAATAAAAATTTTACATTATTAACTGTATAACATTCTGAATCTCAACAAAACCAAAAAGGTTCCTTCTTAAAACATCCCTCTTCCTTGGAATGCTGTCCCTGTAATCTAATATACTCACGTTTCACATGACTAAATCGATGCCTTTTGCAGGGCTTATGGTTAGTGTCTTAGCTGCTGGGTTAAATAAAACGTTTGTTTGTTGTTGTTTTCTGTTAGAGTAGAGCACGGTTGCCTGCTTCTCAATCTGTAGCTCACGAGAAAATGACATAAGAAAAAGTCTCAAATGACACAGCTATATTTTCTAGGAGAGCGAGGGGGGATGAGCAGTGAGGATGGCTGGGAGTGTCCTTGAACAGAAAGCAAACGTTAGGAAGGAGAAAGATCAGCCGGTGTTCATTGATCTCATTGTTTATTCAAAGAGCAAGCTTTCACTCAGTTTTTGTAAACTGCTCAGGAGGTAAATAGGACACGGGCTACCCTTCCTTCTTTTCACCAGATGCTCTAGCGTTTTGTAGAACTGGATTATAGTCAGGCATCTTCCACTTTCCTGTAGTTCACGTGCTGTTTCTAGGCTTGCTTTTGAGTCTGTTTCTAAGTTGTTTTGAAATCCAACCCAAAGATAACAGAGGAAATGTGACCCGCTCTTGTGAATGCTGCCACCAACTGGCAATGTTCTTTTCCCAAGGCAAAACCAGGCTCTCCTGTGAGTTGCCACAGCCAGCATGGTGGCTGCTTTTGTAGAAATTTGGTTACAACCCAACATATATTTGCTTTGCACAAATCTTTACATAAGTTTATAGTAACAATGTGAGGAAAAACAAAAAAACATGGACAATGAGTGACTAAGGGCAATATCAGATGACAAATATGGAATAGAATATTAGCAAATTTAAGAACTTTTTTTTTTACGATTGGGTAAATATCAAACTAATATATTCCTATTGTAATACACTTTAATTTCAATTCGCATGTTTACTTACCAAGAACAACTATTGTATACAAAATGTATATCAATGTCTGTTTAAGACTGACAAAATAAAAACCAACAAGAATCTAAACTCAGGAATGTTTTGGAATGTTTACTAGGGCAAACGTAAAAGTTATAATCAAGATTTCCTTGTCTTGCAGGTAAACCTTTTATTATATTTCTAAAAAATTATCAGTCTCATAATTTTTTACAACAAAGCGAAGTCCACTTGAAAGATATTGAAAAGCAAAATTTGAAAAAGTATGGATGAAAAAAATATTTTTTTAACTATAAAGAATAAATGGCAGTTAATAAATGTCAAACATGATTACCTTTTCGATTAAAATAATTCAAATTTATGTACTCATGACTTATTTATCAACTTCAAATGTCTAAATTAGATCTTTCTTAATTGCTTTAGTCTGAATCTTTAAGCAATGATGGATATATTCAAGTTGGTGATGGTATTCAGAGCTAAGCTATCCAATTAGAGTGAGGGGATTAGAAGACTTGATTTATTTGCTACCAAACATGTCATTCAGTTACCTTTATCTGTGGGTGAAAAAAAAAGTGGTATATAAAACAGCAATAATAATAATTAGCGAGAATAGTTTGTCGGTATATTTACATATGTTAAGGCATTTGATGCTTACCAATCTGTGGGATAAATAAATTTATTAGTCTCCCATAATGCCAATATTAGAAATATGTGATTCTAACACAACTGAGAATAAAGCCTAGATCTTTTAATTCCCCTACTGAGTAATCTTTACTAATCTGTTCTATGAGCCCACATACAATGTTTAAGAAGAAAGATTAGGTATTTACATATGCATTATACTTTTTGCCTTGTTTAGAACACTTATAACACAAAAGATATTAACTAAACTAATGTACCTTGAAGAAATATGGATTAGTGAGGTTAGTAAGAAAATAAAGCACCAACTTGTGAAATTAAAGCAGATGCCACTTACTGCCATGTCCTGTGGGCTGTTAAATGTTAAATGGAGATTTCAGTTTAGATAAACACATTCTAAGAATTACTATTGAAAGCGTAAACATCAGCCTGCATTTTTATGTTTGCTAGTTCTCTTGCTGAAAGAGAAAAAAATAAGAATTATATTAAAATTGTTTCAAATTACATTTTATACTGCAAGAATGTCTTTTTTAAAATTTATGTATTTTTAATTCTTTAATGTCACCACATATTTTACCCCATCTATCTCCCCCTTCCCACCTCCCCTCTGTTAACCACTAGTCTATTGTCCATGTCCATGAGTCTCTGTTTGTTACGAATGTCTTTTAGATAGTAAATAGTAAGACTTAAAAAGCCATCTTTTCTATTGCTATTAAAAAGCATGCAGAAAATAAAATATATTGATATTTTGAATCACAATATTTTTTCTATTTTTATTTTGGTAAATGTGTACCTGATTTAAAAACTTCTATACACTAAAACTGTATTACAATTTCAAAATAACACCCATATCCATCACAGTCTAAATTAAAAGGAAATTAATATGCTGATCGTCATTGAGCCTTATTGTTTAAAATCATTATTTTTCAGTTATAGAATAATTTTAAAAGAGGGTTATAATTTATTATGCAGGTGAATTTATATCTTTCTCAATTCAAAATATAAAAATTAGCAAACATTGAATTTCTAAACATGTGTTAAGTATTTGTAAGCATCAAATATATTTTAGGAATTACCTAGAATAGGTTTTTACCCCTTGGATTTCCTATCTAAATATAAGGCACTGAGTTTTCCTTAAATGATTTATATTTGAGAAATTTATTTTTCTTGTACCTGTGTTGCAACATTGTTCGTATAATTTGAAAATGAAAAGTTTTATATGTTATTACAACCATCATCAGGCATTTTTCTTAATTTTCTTAAAGCTTTAATTCTTAATGTTGCTACATTAGCCTATTCTTACTAGTACCTAGTAGAGAAACTGATTTTCATCTTTGAGACTAGGAAGTTTCACAAAGTATCTTACATCACATCAGATTACATATTCAGGAAAATTCCAGGAAAAGGCAATATTAAGATATAGCAAAAAAAAAAAAAAAAATTACTGAACTTCATTTTGGTTACATAGAAGTAACTTCTAATTAATATTTTGTACTTAGAAGATAGGCAACAAAAGAGAACGAGTAAAAGGTAAAGTGAGGCAACTTTAAAATTAATTTTGTTTCAGATGACTTTTTGTTTTATTTATTAATGTTAGGTGTTGAGCAGTTAACATTTAAATTGATTTGCAAGTGATCCCGACAGCTGTTTTCAGTGCACTGCAGCTTCATGTGGTCTCTGACACATCGACCTGTGCTGCTAGGTGTCTTCAGTGTGCTCCCACAGAAGCATCACCACAGTTCTTCCATTATTCAGTGTTCTGTTAGAGCGTAACGATTCTATTTTTAATAGTATTAAAATCCCTATCATTCATTTCAAAATGTTCCTTAAATATAATTAAGCTATTTGCTGTCACGTCTCACTGTTGTTTCCTGTTGGTTCTTTTTTTCCTTAAAGTTCTAAAACAAGTTCACTTTTCTCTCTTCTAAAGGTGTTTTGCAATCTAGTTAATTTCATAAGACGAGGAAACTCTTTTTAATCCCCTAAGTTTGTTTTCTGGATGGTATTCTTAGTCATGATTGGATTACAATTTCAAACATAATAATGCATAATTACAACATTTTAGTGCTAATAACCAAGCCCCATTTTATAAATAAGGCACATTCATTTAAAAGCTATTAAGGGTGCTTAAACTCAGTGCGTGCTTTCAAAGTTATCAGCCAAATACTTTGCAGGAAATGAAACTATAAATAAAGTCTCTAAATTTCGTTTCATGGAAATTAGTTTTAATTAGTCAAACATCACAAATACTAGTTAGTCTATTTTTAGGTTAATTTTTTTAAGCTAATGTTTTAGACTACTGATCCTGCCTTGGTCTACAGTACAAGGAATTTTCTGCTTAGTATAGAACAATAGTAAATACGTGTTTTCCAGTTATGTAGTCTGTTGATAAATTCATACTAACTCCGTGAAATATTTGATTCTATTACAATTATCAATATGTCTCAAGCATCTACTGTGTGTGGTCCTGTGGACACCAAAATGCAAACCTACCAACAACCTCCCAGCTGATCCTGCTACAGAAGAAGTGGATTCCCCAAGCCCCGTGTGTCAGCTGTGATAGCATCCACGGGGCCCCTCCATGTCATCTCCATGGTGCTCGGGGGGCAAGAAGAACAGAAGTAAATCATGCTGTTTTCTGTGCCAAGAGTGTCTGATCCAGCAAGCACACATCCTCTGCCAGCATGCATGTCACAGCAGCAGGCTAACTGATCAGTAGGTAAGGAAAGTTATGAAGTCTCAGACCCCAACAGTGCCCTCAGGAAGCTCACAGTCTAGTGGGAGAGAGAGAGAGAACCAACAGGCAAATAGCCAAATGAAAGGGCTAATGGTGTTAATTTCAGAAATGACCCAATTACATAGGGAAAATTAGTGTATTATAAAGTTGACATTTTATTTCGTTGGGGGAGAAGATAGATTATAGGATTGGCATAACTGGAAAATATATCTGAAGACACATTAAAGTTGGATCCCTGTCTTCCAGTAAAATGTCAGATGACTCAAAGATTTAAATATTAAAACATGAAACCATAAAATTTAGGAGAATATGAAAGAAATATTGATAAATGTGACTTTTTTGAAATAGAATTCTAGGGGGGAAATATAGTAAAAACAAAGTTAAAGTGCAGATAGCAAACTGGAAAGAAATCACAGCCAATATCATAGATGAATTGCTAATTTTGTATGTATGTGTGTATGTATGTATGTATTTAAAAGGTTTACAGTGGAACGGACACTTGAAAGAACCTACTGGAAGTGTTTGGAAGATAAAGGAGGAAAATAAGGTAATACTCTCTCGGTTCATCCATATTACCACAAATGGTCAGACAAAGAACAACAAATACTATATGATTTTGCTTATATGTGGAATCTAAAAAATAAATAAACAAAACAGAAACAAACTAATAGAACAAATTGATGGGAGGGGGTTTGAAGGAGCAAGGTGAAAAAGGTGAAAGGGATTAAGAAGTACAAATTGATAGTTACAAAATAGTCACAGGGATATAAAGTACAGCACAGAATGTAGTCAATAATTGTGAAAACTATGTATGATGTCAAAAGGCTACTAGACTTATTGAGGTAAACATTTCATAGGATATATTAATGTCTAATATTGTAAATCTGAAACTAATATAATATTATATGTCAACTATAATCGAAAAATATATTTTTTCAAACAGGAGGAAAATAGTGCTGGGTCATATAGGCAAGGACCAACTAGGATAACCCTATAGGAGCAGGTAGATTACTTTAGGTGGCTTCTGCTGTAAGCAGAAGTATGATGCATGTCAGGTTGAGTTTTAATACCTTAAAAGCTCCTGTAAGACAATAATAAAGAGACCAAAACACATGTAAAAATGGGTGAAGGATCCAAACACAAAGTTCATAATAATGAAAATAAATGTAAGAAAATGTTAAACATATGAAAGCATGCCTAGCATTTCTCATAATAAGATATATGCAAATTAAAACCACAGAATGGTACAATCATTCACCTATCAGATTGGCACAGATTGAGTTTGATAACACAAACTTCTGTTTTTGCCAGAATGTCAGAAAAGTTTCCCACACAGGCTTGCTGATAGTACCAACTGAAACAACATCTATGCAGGGCAATGTGACTATATCGATCAAAATAACAAATGACCGTGTTCCTTGACCAATAAATTAACTTCTAGGAATTATTTGTGCATATATCAGATGATTTCTGGATAAGGGTGTTTACTGCATTGTTGTTTAGAATAAAAACATATACACGTGTTAAATAATATACATTGAAATATACTCATCACAATATGGTCTAAAAATGCAAAAATTTGGAAGCAAGTTGAATGACAGCAATTTGGAACTGGTCAAATTATATACACACACACACACACACACACACACACACATATACATATATTTATACCAGATATGCCAAATATATATATACCAGATATGCCAAATATACATATATACACACACACATATATATATATTTATACTAGAATACTATGCAGCTATAACATGAATGAGACAGCTCTATTTATACTGACTCCTAATGATATCTAAAAATACAGTGTAAGGTGGGAATATAAATCAGAAAACAATATGTATACTAGAGTGCCACCATTTTTACAAAAACAAAATGTGTATGTACATGCATAGACACTCTGGAGCATACTTAAAAGAGAAGGTGTCAGGTAGACCGTTGGAGAGTTTTATATTGGAGATACCAGTTTGGAAGTCAGGGGCATAGAGCTACATTTAAATTTGTGGGATTAACCAAAATCATGGTATGAAAGATATAACAGAATAGAGCACCCAGGGTTGTGCCCAGACCACTCTAACATTTAAAGTCAGGGACAGGAAGAGGAGCCCACAGAGAATACTTGGAAGAAAGGGTCTTTGAAGCAGGAGAAAACTAGCAAGTGAAGAATCCTGGGAGTGAGCAGAGGAGAATGTGGCGGAGGGAACAGCAGGCCACTGATAATGATGCTGAGTAAGCCAGTGAGGGGGATTTGGCAACGAGAAAGCTGCTGTTGATCTAGACAGTCTTAGTCTCCTCATGTGAGGTGTTTTTGTGGTGATGGGGAGGTTGGAATGCAGCCCAGAGATGGCATGGAAGACGGCCATGGTCCCTGAAGATAAAATTTAATGAGTGAAGCACTCTCATTATGAGTTGAAAGTTCTCTGCTGGGAGGACAAGTAGGGGACCAAGAAAGGCACTGAACTCTGACGAAAGCTGAGGTGGGGAATAGCAGCATCCTCCTGGAGCAAAGGGCAATTTATGTCCTCAGGATGGAACCAAGTTTCAGATAAGCCTCAGGTTTATAGTGGAATAGACACCTGAAAGAATCTACTGGAAGTGTTTGGGAGATGAAGGAGAAAAATAGGCTGATTTAAAGGCAAGGGCCAGTTATGATAATCCCTTTTGTTCAAGAAGGGAGCAGGTGGATGGCTAGAGGAGCTTCTGGGGTGGGCAGAAGTACGATAGATGGAAGGTTGAGTTTTTATAGTGTCTGTGAATATGCTAATTAAGCTGTGAGGACTGGCTTTTATGAGGACACTCAAGACCCACTTTCTCTGTGTTGCTTGTGTTGACATCTATCATAGGTATAGCTAGAGTTGTCATGGATGAACAGAGGACCTCCAACCATGGGGTCCTTAGTGTGGGACAGGCAGAGGCAGAGATTCATGTGTGCCTGATCACTCTGTGTGAGTCAGTGCTCCAGGGAACCCCCATGGAGCTGTTGGGACCTCTGTCATATGTGAACATATGTCTCTATCATTCTCCTCGATCTCATGGTTTCCTTGTAAAGCTTAGAACCCCTTAGTGACTGTCCTCCCAAAATAAACATCATCTTGCTCTTTCTTTTTAGCTTCCACAGTTTAGGAATATGGATCAAAATCTCCCTTCCCTTGACTCTCAAGCTGACAGTTTGTTAAAACTTCTTCATATAATATCTGGGAGTAAATGCAACTTGTTTGTATCCAGAAACTCCCTTTGAATGCCTTCAGGTCAAGAATTCCCAGAGATTGCTCCATTAGAAGACTGTGAGATGCCACCAAGCATATGGGACCGAATGTCGACGTTATTAGCAATAAACATGAAAACTAACACCTGACCTTTCTTCCTGTCTTCAGTCCTACAGACTGCCCTTTCTTCACTGCACTTTCACAAAGGACTTCTCCTAATGGCCCCTTGAACCAGCCCTGGAAATTTGTTGACTCATTCTTTACTCTTGATATAGTTTCTTAAAGAACCTACCACATAGTAGATGCTCAATACATTCTTGTCAGAATTGTTCTTCTGCATTTTGGGATTAAACTTGTATATTTTTTCCTATAACTAAACATGTTTTGTGGTTATAGAAAAACTCAGATTAATATAACAAGCCATGAAAAGATATAATTGAACTTTAAACACATATCACTAAGTGAAAAGAGCCAATCTGAAAAGGCTACACACTGTATGATTTCAAATATATGACATTCTGGAAAAGGCAAAACTATAGAAACAAAAAAAAAAATCAGTGGTGCTGGGTGAGGGGAGAGACAACTAGGCAGAGCACAGAGCATTTTTAAGGCAGTGAAAATACTCTGTATGACATTATAATGATGAGTCTATGTCATTATAGATTTATCCAAACCTACAGAATATACAAAACCAAGAGTGAATCCTAAGGTAAAATATGGACTTTGGATGATTATGACATGTCAATTTAGGTTCATCCTTGGTTAAAAAAATAAATAAATAAAAGATACTATTCTGGTGAGTGATGTTGATAATGCGGGAGGCTCTGCATGTGTGGGGGCAGGGGGAAAATCTCTATACCTGCCTTCTTCTCAGTTTTGTTGTAAACCTAAAACTGCTCTAAAAAATGAAGTCTTAAAATTTATTTAAGATCTACCATGAGAAAGTACTAAATGTTACTGACTTGTATATTTTAACATGGTTATTTTACAGAATGTGAATTTTACTAAAAAAAAATCTGCCATTTATAAAGCACTTGACTTCTACAGAGGGAGTTTCAAGTAACACCATGGTTTTCCTACTGTAATGAATAGACAAACCAAAATGTAATATTTATCCCCAAATATATTCTTATTTCAAAAAGAAGAAAGAGAAGGAGAGTAGAAGAGAAGGATAGAGAAAATTAAGAAAAAAGAGCAAGGCCAGGATGAACATGCAAAACCCTGATTCTCCAAAATTAAGAAGAGAAAAACCACATAGTGCCTAAAATTCCACTAGATTAAAAAAAAAAAAAAGTTTCTGATAAATTAACAAGCTTCCTTTTTTACGGTGGTTTTGTTCAAGAAGTAACCCTGAGCACTCACTTCGAATCACTTGGGATGCGTTCGAAAAGAAGGCGTTATGATCATGCATTAAAAGTGTCTGAGTGAAAGCTGTAATTTGATTGCCCAAAGAGGCTTTTAAACCCCAACCACATAATCATGCCATAACAAAAGTACGTTTCTCTTCCCTATTGATTTCCCACACTATCTCACAGCACATGCATGGTTTCATGTGTGGCTTCTCAACCTCCCATACAACTTCAGTGTCTTAACATACACCTGAAGAGATTGGCAATGATTTCAGTTGCAATGTAAAATGTCATATATATTTTCTGATTATTGAAGAGACAATTGCTTATTTTAGAAAAATTTTGCACTATAGAAAAGTGAATAGAAGAAAATTAAAATTAATTATAATTGTACCACCCAGAGGCAACCATTGTTAGCACTTGAAGGATTTTTTTGGCCTTCTCTTTATATGCATATATCTTATTTTGCAAAATGGAAACTATACTATATATGCAAATATTAGTCTATTTTTACATTTTTAGATGTCATCCATTTCTTAAAATGTGATTTTGTATGGCTACACACCATTTTTCCATGCAGTTGTACCATGATTTATTTAACCCCTGCCTTAAACTTGCCCGCCGTTGTTGTTGGTAATTTCTTAATAAACAGCGCTGGCTAAACGTTATTTTGTGGTGTTATTTATTTTGGTAAGTAGATCACCATACATTAAATTATTCAGACTAAAAACCTACAAGTCATTCTTGTTATGGCTTTTACTCCTAACCCCACTCTATTACCAAGTCCTGTTAATTTTTCATCCAAAGTGTCTCAGAAACCTATTCGCTTCTTTCCACCACCACCCACCCCTGTGTCAGTGCCTTGTCTTAATATTTTTTAGTTCCTTGTTGGTCAAAGAACTAAATGAAGTACTTATTATCTCTTTTATTTGTCACACTTACTCTAAGAAGCAGTTATCATTTCTTCTCTTCCAACTTTTCTCTCACATATTTGATGGCATTTGGTTTTGTTTAGCTTAAGAATTTTTTTACATTATGCAACATAGCACACATACGAAAGGATATTTAACATATATGTCCATTATAAATAAGAATTTGGAATCAGTATACTCATTTCCAAGGTTAAAAAATAGAACATTACCAATATTTTGAAGTCCATTGACTGGACTTACCACTACCCTAAATTTTGTTTTATTATTCTTTGATTGTCTTTATGATTTTACCACATATGTATGTAAACCTAAATAATGTATTCTGTATTATGCTTATATTTAAGCATTATATAAGCATTATCACACTATTTTCTGCAACTTGCTGTTTATATTCAACATTATATATTTTTATTGAGATACAATTCACATAGCATAAGAAGGAACAATTCAATGGTTTTTAGCACATTCATAAAGTTTTGAAATCATCACCACTGTCTAAGTCTGGAACATTTTCATCACTCCAAAAAGAAACTTTGTATCCGTTAGTAACTCACTCCTAATTCCTCCTTTCTCCCATCTCTGTCCACCACTAACCTGTCTCTAGTCAACATTATGTTTTTCAGTCATCTATTTTGATCAATGTAGCTTTAGTTCATTCATTTCAACTATAATAAATATATAATAATTTTTCACTTCTGCCAGTACAAATTTAGGTTGTTTGTACTTTATTTTTTAATTTTTATTTTAACATCACTTTTTATAAAGATGTAGGTTTAACAATTAAGTAATTTTCAACAGTTAAAATACTGTTTAACAATTACATATACACACATATATATTATTATGCACACAAGAGGACACATATGGAATAGCTAGTCTTAATTCTGCCCATATTAAATTTTAATGCATATTTAAAAATTATTTTTTAAAGTGAGTATACATATTGACAATTCCTCCGGAAGGGTATCATCGACTTTAAAAGTTTCCTGTTACTATGTGTGTAAAATAGTAGTTTTCATTTTTATTTTCTATGATTACTGATAGGGTGAGCATCTTTTCATAAGTTTATTGGCCATTTGTAGTTCCTCTTCTATGTAGTGAAATATCAAGTTTTTGCCCATTTTACTACAGGTTCGTTGGTCTTTTCTCATTGACTTGTAGTAGTTGTTTATTTTCTCCGCATATAGATACTTTATAAAAATGTGTTTTCCTAATTCGTTATTGTCTCCTCACTTTCTTCATATGGTCTTTTGAATGAGCAGCAATTCTAAGTTTTAATAGATTCAAATTTCTCAAACTTCCCTTTTGGGTTTTGTACATTTTTTGTTACTGTTGTTGTTAAAAATTTTTTTACTCCTATAGTTCTTCCTTTCTTCCTTCCTTTTTCTTTTTCTTTTTGGCTTTAAATCGCCTGCATTATACGTTTGTATGTTGTGAATGATAAGGGCTCAATTTTATTTTTTTTCTTATTATTTCTGAATTTTGTGTTAGATATTTGGCTTTTTCCCACAGGTCTGAATTAGTGTCTCTCTGATATAGCAAGTCTCCTTGTTTGCATGGATAAATAATGTGCTCTCTCTTTCACTGTTCTATTTGCTTATTCCTATGCCAATATCATACTATCTTAGTTACTCTATTTTATTAACAGTCTCACTGTCCTGTAAGACATTTTCTTCACCTTCTTCTTCAGGAGCACCTTGACTCTTCATAACCCTACTTCTTATAAATTTTAGAATCATCTTGACAAGTTTAATAAACACCTTGTTGAAATTTAGATAAATTTGGCAAGATTAGACATCTTTAAGACCTTGAGTTCCTCTATCCATGAATACGGCACACCCCCCAATCTATTCAAGAGATTTAAAAATATCTTTTAATAAAGTTTTATTAAATGTATTTTGTTAGATTTATTCCCAGAACCTTATATATTTTGTTGCTATTGTAGATAGTACCTGTACAAAAGATTACAACATTTTCTCCTTGTTGCTTGGTTATAGAAATCAACTTGACTTGTAATTTATCTTATATCTAGCAATTTTATAAACACTGTCATTGATTTGAATAATTTAAAGGTGTTTGGAGGGAGTATCTTTGTAGATAGTGTACAAAAAATGAGATTTTGTATCTTCCTTTCAAACTCTTATTTCCTTATTTTTCTCATTTTATTGTACTGTCTAGAGTCAACAGTCTGTTTTAAGAACAATCTGTCTTAATGATTTTTTTAAAGGGAATGTCTTAAATTCTACTGTTCAGTACAATGTTTGCTCTAAATGTTCGGTAAATTCCATTTTTCAGGCTTGAGGAGTTCTCTTCTACTCCAGTAGGGATTTGAACGTTTATGAAATATTTTCAACACCTACTGAGATGGCCTTAGAATTTTCTGCTTTAATTTAGTAGTATGGCAAACTACATTAATTGATCTTCAATTGTTAAATCAAATTTGCATTTCTGGAATAAATCTAACCTGGTCATTTTTAACTTTGGGTTCCCATAAAAACAGACCTTGAGATAAGTTCTCTGTGTCTAGTAAGTCCAACATCTGATTTTGTATCTGCGTATCTGAATCATTATGTTGATTTGTTGGTTGACTGTCAACCTTTGTGCCTAGATGTTTAAGTTACCTTCTCTCTGAGGGGCAAATATGTTTTTGTGCTAATCCTCTCACTGAATCTTGGAGTTTCTGGCTGCATGAGAAGGTCCAACTAGACTCTTCCCTTCCAAGATCCTTTTCTTCTACTTTTTTGTGGATTTTAAACCCAAAGCACAAAGTTCCAGAACATCGGCAGTTACCTCCCATGAGCCGTTAGTCAAAGCACTGGCTCACCCCTAGACTCCTGCCCCATTTGATTTTGTCTCCTGAGAATTTCTCTTACTTTCTTTCAAGCTTGTATGTACTTAAAAAGATGTGGATTTTTTATTACGTAAGTGTTTTATAGCAGAAAAATTCCAGGAAATCAATTCCATAAATTTGCTGGAAAGAGAAAACCAGAGATTTTTAAATTTCTAAATTCAATCTAGAAACCTGTCTTATGGTTTATTCCTTTTTCTTATACTTAGAAAAAACTTATAACTATTTTTATACATATTTTTAAACAACATTTGATGTGAATACTATATTACACCAATAGATAGCAATATTAAATAAAATGTATTTGAACGGTTACTTAAAATTTTAAATATTGAGCCCTAAAGGGATGACTAATTTCCTCAATAAGTTATATATGAATGGAAACTTATTTGCAATATAAATTATATTTTGTAGCATAGGACAGAGCCAAAATCTTTCTTTGCTTACTGACAGATTTAAGTAACATGTACCCTGGAATGAGCTGACAAAGAACCTAGTTTTGAGAGTCATCTTTTACTATTTACTCTGGTTGGTCAGGACTGTCACACAAAACCACACACAACTTTGGGGTTGTCGTACACTATGAATGGCGGTCGCATGATATGTGCAGAATGATGGCCCTGGTCTTGTGGGAGATGACATTCTTGAGCATTTAGTTACACACCTATGAAATGAGAATCATGATAGTAAGGTTCATGCAATGAACAAATAGGGCAATGTGCATGAAATTACTCTAGAAAGATTATTACCTCTTTGTGCACCTTTGAGAGAGCCTACAAAGTTGGTACAAATTCTGTTGTATTTTTGCCACTCATTCAACTTCATAAAGAACTTAGAATTGCATAATAAAGTCATACAAACAACCTGGTTCAAGCCAAGGGGACCAGCAAAAGAAATCCACTCATCCTAGTTTCCCACTGTTCCACTCTCTTTTAATATCACAGCAAGTTAGGTAGCATTATTCTTTCCATTCTTTCTTTATTTCTTTGGTACCTATAGCATTTCCTTAGCTTGATGCAAACAGAGTTAAAGATAGAAATGCAGGAACAGTAAATATCCTTCATTTTGCTTCAGATTCTCCCACCTGCCAAATAAGAATGTCTAGTCCCTTGCCGTGTTTGGCAGGCAAGTACAGGGTCTTTGGAACACATTCTAAAAGGAGGATAGTGTAGGTTCTCATGGGCACATCCTCTCAGCCCCACAGACCCCTAACCCGGGGTCCTTCCAAGGTTCTGGCCAGGTCAGGAAGGACTCTACTGCAGTATTGGTGCTGGTGGCAAAGGTCATGGTGGCAAAGGAGATAGTAGGAATCACAGAATGTTCAGGTGGTGGACAAAATGACGGCTCAGACTTTACATTCAATACATAAATACTTTAAGGCATTTAAAGTAAAGATGATGAGGCACTCGCCCAAGATATTGAATGGAGCAGACATACATTCCTTTCAGGACACCGGTTCCCACTCCCACTTCATGAGGAAAGCCGTCTTTGCTTTGAGGAAATGGCTCTGGATCTTTAGTATGCAGCTAGTAAATTCCCCATTTTGGGTTTAGGCCAGCATGAATGGGATGGTCTACCACCCAAACAAGGGAAAGCCCTATCTGATACGTCTTTTGGAAGATGGTATTACAGCATGCAAAGCCATTTGTCAGGTGTGAATGCCAGTCTTTCCTTCAGGAGTGCAGCTGGAACTCTCTAGCTGGTTTTTAAAGCCACGTTTAGTTTTCATATCTCTGATTATCTATGTAATAAAACAGATTAATTTGTCTTTTAAGGAAATGATAGTGCTTAATGGGGTAAGGTACATTGTAAGTGCTCGAT